AGGATTGTGAGTTCACTGTCATCTTGTGCTACTTAGGGAGACTCTATATTAAAAAAACAAACAAACAAAAAAACCCCAAAAACCAAAAAACAGGAGTCTTTGCTTCATTTCTTGGGTGGGGACAGGAAATATTTCTTTCTTTCACTAGCTAAAACCCTTGTCCATACTTCATCCTGTCATACTAAAATAAATAAAAACAACAATAACAAAACAAAGCCATGCACAGTGGCTCATGCCTAGAATGTATTTGGTCTATTTGGATCATAGATCTAAATGAAAAACCTAAACTTCATAGTCTCAAAGGATATGGGAAATTATTTTACCTTGGTTGCATAAAGGAATTCAGGTATGACAAAAATGCAGGATCCATCAAAGATTTAGATACTGCAGGTTGCTGGCTCAGGTGAACCATGACTGCTTTCCTACCTTACAGGAACAGAGATCAGGAGGAAATATGTCCAGAGACCCTATCTCAAAAACACCCAACACAGGACTGGTGGAATAGCTCAAGGGGAAAGAGTGGCTGCCTAGCAAGCAGGAGGCCCTGAGTTCAAAACCCACTGCTCCATCACTATGTCACATATCCCCAGACAGCCTCATAGCAGAAGGCACGCAGAAACTCTCAGCCTGGTATGCCTAGGAAGTGTACCTATTATAAGGATGGGAGTACCAGCATGTGAGAATTGGACCAGGAGTTTAAGGTTCAGCGGAAACAGGCTGGGATGAAAAGTCAGGGCAGGTAAAGCGACACTTGTATGGGGTTCACTTTCTTGCCATTCAAGGAAGTGAAGAGATGGTGTGGTAAAGGATGTCATTAGTTGTTGGAGATAGATACATTTTCTACATCAAAAAAACAAAACAAAACAGAACTCTTGGCTCATATGCTTGCTGGAGGTGGCTGTTACCTAAACGATCAAGACACATTAGGCTTGCCAAAGGGCCACCATGCCTTTGGTTAGAGATTTCTACATCTGTCTTTGCAAGAGGAAAAAAAAAAAAATTAGTTCCAAGTCCAAATTTGTATTTTATGGATGTAAAATGTCCAGTTGGCTACAAGATTACCACAGATTTCAGCCAAGTACAAACAGTGCTTCTTTGTGCAAAACGTTCAACAGTGCATGTCAGCCTACTGCAGGAAAAGCCAGGGTGATGGAAGGTTGTTCTTTTGGAAGAAAGCAACACTACTGATTGGTAAGTCCTGAATTTAGGTTTTCCCACAGAAAGCCTTATGAGCTCAGTGACTCTCAAAGATAATGTAACTATATTTGATTTTGTAAGGCATAAAACAATGATGTACTATTTTGTTAGTTTTTCAATAATGTTTTGATTCGGGGAAAAAAAAACGATCTTGAATACAAAGAGTGGGAGAAATGGAGAGATACTGTTCAAAGGAATTAAATCTTCAATTGGGCCAGGCACACTGGTGGCTCATGTGTGTAATCCTAGTGACTCATGAGTCACACATCAGGAGTGGAGCAGTTTGAGGCCAGACCTGGACAAATAGTTTTTGAGACCTTATCTCAAAAATCCCATCACAGAAGGACTGGGACAAGGTCTGAAGAGGTGAGAGCACCTGCCTAGGAAGTGTGAGGACCTGAGTTCAAAACAACAAAAAATTTCAAACACAAGAAAACCCAAAAGCAAAAGAATCCCCACAAAAATCACATGATGTAGTGGCTCAAGGTCGTGGAGTTTATATGACCTTCCGCGATCCCGAAGACTCAGGAAAATTGGCGCCACTGAGGAGACATGGAGAAAGATTTTCACATGTAAAACATATATTGCAAATTTTACTTTTTTATTCTCAGATTATGGCCTCACTCTTATCAAAAATATTCTACCAGCAGGTTTTAGTTGCTTTCTGATATCCTGACTTGGTAAAATAGAAAAAGGTAGTCAATGTGTGTTACACCTGCACTTTTCTTGACCCTTGGGTCATTTTGTTTATAGGCATGTTTTCCATCCCAAGACAAAGAATCCCAGGATTTTTCCTCTTGTGTGTTTTTGTCTTCCTTTTTTGCCTTCTTTCATCTTTCCTCTTTGTGGACCATGATGCCAGCTGACATTGTCAGTACATTGCAACCAGGCTGATGGGGGGCAGATGATTCTGCTATTTTTCTGGATCTTTCAGCTGCACTTCAAATTTTGGGTGATTACTCAATAGGCGCTTTTTTGTGGTACTGGGATTTGATCTCATTGTCTACACTTTGAACCACAACACAATCCTTTTTTTGTAATGAGTTTTTTTGAGGGAGGGTGTCATAATCTGTTTGTCTAGGCTGGCTTTGAACCATGATCTGCCTGATCCTCATGTAAACCTAGTATTACAGGCATAGGTCACTGGCATCTGGCATGACACATTCTCAATCTTCCTGTGAGACTGACAACAAATTTCCCAGTTCTGTGATCATAAATGATTTTAAATTAAAGTAAGTTATGCTTCATCATCATGGTTAGAAACCAGACACAGACATTAGGGTGTGGTCCAATCAGGACCAGACTTTTGCCTTTCTTATCAGTATGGTTGATGCTCTTCAGACCATCAGCCACGACAATCACGTACACCACATGAAGGCATGGAAAGATGGTAGAAAGAACTACTCACTTACATCATAATACTTACTTGCTCCAGCAATAAAATCTATGAATCATCACAGCTTCATACCCCATCTACCTCAGTATGAGAGTGCATACCTTCCAATGTTGCTGTGAAGGTCACTCTGAGCACAACCTCAGGTCTTGTTTTTGTAGCACTGGGGTTCGAATAAGGGCTTCAGGCTTGCAAGGCAGGCAATCCACCACTTGAGCCACTCTGCTGCCATTTTTTATGTATGTTAATCTGAAGATAGGGTCTCACCAACCAATTTCCCAGGCTGGTTTTGAACAGTGATCCTCCTGGCCTTGGTCTCCTCATTAGCTAGGACCACAAGCATGAGGCATCAGCACCCGGCTACATGCTCAGTTCTTAAAGTATAAGCACAGGACAACAAGACCCCAGTATCAAGGAATCAAGGAATCAGTTTCAAACAGTTATTCAATGACTGTTTTTTTACTGGCAGAGTGACTCAAGTGGTAGAGGGTCTGCCTAAGAAGCACCAGGCAATGAGTTCAAAGCCCAGTACCTCCTAAAGAAATAAAAAGACTGTCCTCTTGATACTTAATGTTGAGAATTAGTTTCTACAGATAATGCCGAGGTGATGTCCTGCCCATGAAGATAAAATGAGACCAGGGGCCCTCTAGTGTTTCACACACTATCCTCTTAGGCAAGGCAAGGACACCATTCTCCTCCATATACACCTGGTAGTAAGTTGTATTTATTTGGTTGTTGGTTATTATCATATGCTGTGTTACAATGCCACCAAATGTTGTGCCTAATATTTGTAGAATAAAGACCTTTGGCAGAATATATTTAATCATTTCACTTTATGAATACCAAGTTACAGCTGATATTACACAATACCAAATGAATAACCCAACCAAGCAGGGTTATCTATTAGTCTTAGTCAAATGGAAAAATGAAAGTTTGAGAAATGGCTTGCTATTCAGCCATAAGAATTAAAGAAAGCACTTATGCTTTGGTGTCAGTTTCTTCCCAAAGGAGATCCCTACTAAGTAAAGTGGCACCACAAACCATTCTTTAAGAATCAACATTGGGAAACTCCAGGTTCTAAGGAGTTATGTCTACACACCAGAACAGTACCTTGCTAGAGTTATTATGGGTTCATTTTCTTTAGTTATTTCTGAGCTTTTAGCTAAGTTTCTTTACACGTATCCCCTAGACTGATAGATCTTCAAGAATCTTAAGTTTATATCCAAATTAGGAGAAGTGAAGCACAAGGCTGTGTTTGAATCAGGTCAGAGAAGAGCAGAGGCCCATGTACTGGTCTGTGGTTCCTGAAAGGACTCTTAACAGAAACATGCATCCGGGAGCTAACAGAAACTCTGGAGGTACAACATGGTTCTCTCATTTAGAGATTTTCTGCATTGGGCAACTGCATAGATGGGGGATCCAGCTGACTAAAGATGCCATGAGATGCTGTTAGGTGTTCAGTAGAGTATGAAATTCATCTTTGAAATTGGGACCATGAAGTTGGAGGTCTTGACAAAAGCAGTTTTAGTACAGTGGCAAGAATATAATCCATTTGAGAGCACTGATGAATTTAGTGACAATGTGGAAGTAGCATTTACAGGGGACCAGTGGGCTCTGAAAACTGTTGGGGGAATGAGGCAGGAGGGGCTGTCTTTAAACTTTCCCTTGCCCTGCTATTAACCTCTCTGTGACATATTGTCACCCGGTTGTGTGAATCTCCTCCTGTGCTTTTTGGCTCAGTTCTAAATCCTGAACAAAGGTGAGGCCCAGACCTCATGAGGATGTAATTACTGTTGATTTTTATGTAGGAGTGTCCTCCCAAGCTTTGGCTTGCTTTTAATGATCCTCACTGGGGAAACCCCAGTGTCCCCCTAAGTTCTTTCTTCTGTCAGACAAGAAACTGTCACACTCCACTCATATACTGTCTCCTCTCCCATTATTTTTCTGCTTCCTAAAACCAGGGATAGAAACAGTGAAGATGGTAACTGTGATGTCACAGATGGCCGTGGTGTCCCCTCCCCTCCATCAGTCATGCTGTACAGGGACGGCCCTTTCCAATGCTTTGGGCGACATGGGAAGGACTTGGTTGACAGGGTTTATGACCAGTGTGCACAAACATGGCCTGGGGCAGGTTGTGGAGTTCACACCCTTCTCCTGACCATGAAGACTTGGAAAAATCGGTGCCACGGAAACCCCACCTCATAGGGCTCCGGGTTGCTGCTCACATCACAAAGGGGATGGACGCTAGTACCGGCTGCAGCTCAGCCCCACCCTGTGGCCCAGAGGAGCGAGGGCTGAGCGGAGCTGGCAGCAGACATGGGCCACACACTGGGGCTGCAGTGGAGGCTTTGTCCATCGTTGGTACTGTAGGTCCCCCTCAGCTGCTCTGCAACTCTGGTCGAAATCTCACCATTTCCGGGCTTTCTGGCATTGTCCCTAGAATCCTGCAGTCAGATGACACAGAGCCGAAGGAGCTGAGACATCTGGAGCTTCTCACAAAAAAAGCTGGCTTCAAATATCGCGACATCAAAAAGGAGTCTGGCACTTTGGGCAGAGGAGAGCTTTATATATCCTTGCTCCTCATTGGACAGCTCCTGCCACAGATCAGCTTTCTTGATTGGCTAATGATCCAGGCCCCTCCCTATTCAAACCTGAGTGACAAATGATCTGTCAGCTACCTGGCTCTGTGGAGCCCAAGTGAAAGAATACAATCACGTTCTCCTGTTCCAGGCTTCCTCCCCTTGGGTGGAAGCAGTTAGGTACATGTGATGAGGATAAGCAAAATTTACCTGTTATGGAAAATGCCTGCCTAGGAAGCTTGAGACCCGCAGTTCAAGCTCCAGTACCATCAAAAACAAAGAAACAAACAAAATGATGTCTTTCCATGAACCCTTGATGGAAATGGGGAGAGGTCGGAGTTTTCCTGTCCAGCTTTTTGGGTGTGGGGCCAGACTAGGATGTCCAGGATACTCTTTTTCATTTTTTAAGGCTCCCAAAAAAGTAATTTCATGAGGAAGGGGAACTCCATTATATTTTTATCCTAATCTCTCTTCCTTAACATTTCTGTTTTCCTGGAAATTTCTAAAACATTAGCATTGCTGCATAGCTTCCATCACTGTGGTTCCACAGGGCTTCCTGGACCAGACAGGGTCCTCCTTTTTAATGAGCTGAGTCAAGAACTTGTAAACTATCTTCTCCTAGGATTCAGAGATGGGAAAAGAGGGAAGGAAGACAGTAGCAAGTAAAAGGAATTTACAGTTTGGTAATATAAGTCACACAGCACAGCTTTTTTTTCTTGAGGTACTGGGAACTGTTCTCAGGGCCTTCACCTTGAGCCACTCTACCAGACCTTTTTTGTGATAGTTTTTTTCAGATCAGGACTTATGAATTATTTGTACAGGATGATCTCTGCCTCCTGAGTAGCTAGGATTATAAGTGTGCACCACAAGTGCCCAGCACAGATTTACAAAGCTGTCTGATGGAGCACTGGTCCCATGTGACATAGCAAAACTCTGATGGAGTTATTATTGGTGCACAGTGCAACAACATAAAAGAATAAAGTGGAGATGTTCACATGTAAAACATACACAGTAAATTTTCCTCTTTTATTCTCAGATTATGTCCTCACTCTTATTTTCATAAATATACTTCTAGGAACAGATTTTGTTTTTTGTTATCCTGACTTGGTAAAATAGAAAAAGATAGTCAATCTTTCAGCTATTCAGAAAAAATAGTCTCACTGTCAGCCTTCTCACTCTGTGGGTTTTATAATTAACTATTCCCTAGTTCAAGCATAATGTATGCTTGCCCATAAGGAGCCACGTAGACTCAGTGCTGAAAAAAAAGCAATGATTCATGGTAGGTTAAAGATGACTCATTCACAAACAGCTACAAAAAAGGGATGCTTGTGCCACATGCTCACGTTCTAACCCTGTGGTTTTTAGAATTACTATGACTTGCTTCTTTGTCATTCTGTACACAGGCCTGAAAATGAGCAGTGGACTGAACAATCCTATAATTCAGCAAGACTTTGATGATTCTTTCTACAATGTTACTCTTAAATTGTTTCTGCAGTTCAATTGGGCAAACAGCTCTGATCCACATACCAAATTCTTGATGATAGTTAATGATGAAATATTTATGCATATGCCAGATCTCATGGAATACCATCAAGAATTAGAACAAATGGGTATTCAAGACTTTTGGATAGGTCATGTTCATCATGGTACCACTGCCATTATGAATAAAAGCAGCAAATACAGTCTTTCCTATGAAATGTACCAGCCACCAACTTACCCAGGCTATGGGGCCAGCACTGCCTATGTCATCTCCAGTGACATAGTAGCCAAAGTCTAAGAGGTGTCACAGATGCAGAATTCTAGTCTTTACATAGATGGGTTCATGGGCCCCAATAAAATGGAGGTAGTACCACAGTACCATGTGTTTCTTTTTTCCTGGGGAATGTAAAGATCCTTATCATCCCTGTATCAATGAAAAAATAGTGACATCTTATGGATCTTCAGCACCTTTGGAAGGATGCTACAGATGCTAAAGTAAAAAGTATTTCAAAGGGGTGTTTGTTCAAATACACTGTAGGGTCATTAAGATAGTTCCCCTTTGTAAATTGACCTACAAGAACACATATCCTTATGGGGCTGCATTTGTCTAATGGGACAGGAACACTGTAATGTCTTCATGACACTGAGGCAAATCTAGATGAAAAACCTTTAAATGTTTGTCTTTATACTAAGTAAAATTAATACGAAAGACAAAGATATTCTGAAAGCCCAATCTATATCAAAATATTTCTTTAATCATAGAAGCTATGCAATATAACATCAAATTCATGGCCTAAATTCATGTCAAGGAACTCATAGTTTAAAATGTACGATATGAGTAAAAGCACAACTAATGCAAAACTCTAGCTCTCATTTAATAGCACGGATGTATCTGAGGTGGGGAGAAATTAGTAAGAAACCTTGGTGTCAGAATACTTGCTTTTGGAAAATATCAAGTAAACGCATAGTATAGCATTTCAAAGAAAGAAATGTAACTTTAGTCCAGGCATTTCAGCTTGTTTTTTCTAAAGAGCATTTGATGGAGGTAGTGGGGATGGGGAAGCATTGCCAGAGGACAAAGTACATGAAGCTGGTAAAGTTTCTTGTCTTAGGAGGGAGAGCAAGAAACTGTCTGCACTTTCATTATAAACAGCTGAGTCATTAATGGTCACACCCATGTAACTGTTTACCTAGATCGTATTGCCATCATTTAAAATAATTTGTGTCTTTCTCTCAAAGATGAATGTGCAATTTGAAAAAAGTCATTATGCCTCTTCTAACCAGAACATATTGTTTTCCCCCCATATTACAAAATGTCTGAAACATGGGCAGTTTGTTGTCCACGGGGTCCTTCTCTAGAGAGAAATTATTGTTCACTCCAGTAACAAGTCAACTTTAATTTGATGAGTTTTAAATTGGATTTTAAATGTTAAATACTAGTTTGCATTTAAGGTAGTTGCTTGAAAATTGTTTGCAGAGAGGAATATGATAATGGAGGAGACTTCAAAAGGAAAGATAGGGCTGGGGGTGTAGCTCAGTCCCAGAGCAATACAGCACTCGCCGGGAAAGGCCCAGACACACACAAAAAAAACCATGAAAACTCTTTTGTCTATAATTTATGCACTATACAGTATTTAAATAACTGTGCTCATTCCTAAAATTAACCCTTCCCTTTCTGACATCATAAACCACAGTATTTTGCTCCAAGTTCACAGTTTTAAATTTAGAGTATTAAATCAAAGCTGTAGTATCTAAAACAATCTATTCTTGACTCAAATAGCTATCATGACTACAGTGTCGAACATTTAAAATGTAGTTACTTTTACAATAGATTGAGGATTTTAGATCATTATAAAATTTCTATCACTTTTAAAAACTGTAGAGAACACAGGATTTTTGACAAAGCAGGTTTATAATTAATCATTATTCATTGATTCTTGAATATCTGTTTGCCATCGGGCTATCTATATGCTGTGTATCTATTCTTGGAACAGTTAAAATTTGCCACTGGTTGAAAATATCAGTAACTCTTGGGCATTGAAACAATCTTGTTTACAGTAATATTTTTGGGAAAGTTACTTCTTAATAGAGTTCTCTGGGTATATGTTCATCTTTTCTATTTTTGCTTAGGCTACAATGGAAGAGGTTTGAATTTAAAGTGAATATGAAGGCACTTCTTGTTTTTATAAGGGACTTGCCAAATAATTCCTTCATCAGAATTAAAGTACTAAGAACAAGGTTTGTAATTAGTGTCATAGCCTTTTGAGAAGGAACACCTTTTCGTGCTCCACTGTAGGGATACCTTTTTTTTTTTTTTTCTAAAAAAATAAAATGTCAACAAAGGGAAGATGAACAATTAGCCTGGAGAGTCCTGTAAGTTAAAGACGGCTGTACATAGTGTTGTTGTCAAAAACCTTTTACATCTTGGTTGATTAATTTTACAGCAATATATTCAGTATTTATATTATTTGACTTTTGCTCTAGTATGAAAAAGTAATTGGTGGGTTTAAAAAAAACTATCATTTCCAACAAACAACTTAAAAATTGATAAGGTAAAAAAAAGAAAATACTGAACACAAAACATGGTGCTCAGTGACTAAACTGGTGAAACACATGTCTAGTAAGTGTAAGGCGCTACATTCAAGTCCCAGTATCATCAAAAAAAAAAAAAAAAAAGAAAGAAAGAAAGAAAGAGAAAGAAACAACTTGCTCCTTGGGGAACTGAGACCATCCTTGGGTGGGGAATAAGTGAAAGACAGAAACTGGATATTTGTATTTGTCTTCTTATAAACTATTACTCACTATGCCCACCAATAAATATTATAGCTTTTACTTGGGAATGTCAACAGATAAAACAGAAATGTTTTCCAGCATAATAATAATGGTATATGAGTTGCAATAGTAGTCATACAAGTTTCATGAAACCAAGTAATATTGTTCTTAGTGATTAAAACTACACTGAACTAAAATTTCACTCTATGATCTATGGGTAATAAATCAGGGAACCCATCAGAAGACATACATGATGATTGCACGTATGTTTATATTCTCATTACTTCTTAGTATGAAACAAATGACTTACTGAAACAATTGACTTTGCTTCTTCAGCTCTCATCACTGTGCCCACTCAGGTTCCAAACAAAGAAACCACCGTCTTGCACTCAAATTCTGAAAGAAATTCCTGGAATACTTAAACTTGTATTTTATAGAAATGAGCATCTACACAGCAAAAAATTTTGCCTGCTTCACCTACTTTACACAGGAGAATCCAAATGAGATTAAAAACATGCTTATTTATGCACAAATCTCTTCTGAAGAGACTGAGACATTATCTCCAAAAGGCTTGTGACAAACAACCAAAGTCAATTCTCCCCAAGATTTCCAGGGGAGTTAGCATTGCTGTGTCTGAAACTGGGACAAAGACCAAATATTTTATGTACTACACAAGCCTTTTCTCCACATGGAAGAACCCAAGGATGTCCTTCTTTCACACTGCCTTTGGCTTTCTCAGTTAGCATAGAATACACTCTGAGGACACTAACTCAGTGTTTGAAAAACAAAGAACTATGTCCACTTCTTTTTAAAAATTTATTTATTTTTTCTTTTATTCATATGTGTTTATTTTTTCTTTTATTCATATGTGCATACAATATTTGGGTCATTTCTCCCCCCTCCCCCCCACCCCCTCCCAATGTCCACTTCTATCACAAATGTTGTAATCCTGGTAAACAGTGGTGATTAAAGAAGAGATCTCCCTCCTATGTGGATTATAGACCTAAAACAAATGCAGTACTATTATTGGACATGGGTCACACACTAAGGCAAGAATAGGGAGGAATAGGGAAAGAGAAGGAAACCTAAAATTTGAAAGTGGTTGATGTGCCCACTGTAGAGGAGTGAACAAAGTAATCTGAAACTGGCAGAGGCCACTATGGGAAGGTGACCTGGAAGTAGTGAAGAGGTCCAGTAAAGATGAACCCATGCAGGTTGTAATACACATGTGCATGGAAGCAATGCTGGGAATCTCTCTGCATAGGACTTTATGTGAAATTACCAAAAATGCTATGTCTTTCATATTATCTCTTTTGTTTTCTCAAAATTGGAGAAGATGGCAGAACAGGTTCTGCCTGAAAGTGAGGGGGAAGTGGAGGGGGGGAGAAGTAGCCTAAATGATGTATACACATATGAATAAATGTATAAGCAAACAAAAAGAAGTCTCACTGCAGCCAGGCAATTGTGGCTAAAGCCTATAATCCTAACTTCCCCCTGGGACAGAGATTAGAAGAATCACAGCCAGCCTGGTCAAATCATTGACCATATGCTATCTCCAAAATACCCACCACAAAACAGGGCTGGTGGAGTGCCTCCAGTGACAGAGCACTTGTCTCCAAGCCCTGAATTCAAATGCAAGTATCAGGAAAAAAAAAAAATTCCAAGGCCCAGAACTACATCCTAAGAAAAAAGGAGCAAAGTGTAAACAAATGCCATCCTGTTACACTTGCCACAGTCCTCCCACTTTTCTTTTTTTTAAGATACAACATTACATAACACACTTTTCAAATTCCCATGTTTTGCTTTGGTTAACTGAACTGATTATAAGAAACAAAACAGAAAAAAAACCTGTAACACTTGCTGGGAGGCTGAGATTGGCAGGATGGAGGCCAGTATGGGCCAATAGTTCCCAAGACTAGATCTCCAAAACATCCAACACAAAAGCGGGGCAGCAGGATGCCTCAATTGTAGAGCACCTGCCTCGCAAGTGTCAGGCCCTGGGTTTAATCCCCAGCACCACTAAAAAAAAGAGAAACACGGTTTTCTGTGCTGATTGTAAAAATGAACTTTACTTAACTTTCTCTCCTTCTTCCAGGTCTGGGATCTCTGACCTACCCTTGGCTTGAGATTGCAAATCATTTTACCTGAACCATCATGCAAAGGACAGGCTGACCTTGTTCTCTGGTCCAGGATTGATGTTACACCCTCCAAAGTTCTCCCCGACACCCGCACCCCCGTCCCCACCTTCATTTACCCCTGTGTCCTCCCTAGAAAGAACAGCCCTTATCAGCCTCACCATAGATGAGTTTAGGGACCTAACACTTGGGCTTTCCACAGGAGAGGTTCTTAGCTATGGATAAGCTAGGTAGAAGCACCTCTCACCCACACAAGGATCAGGGAGAAGCAGGGTAAGCAGAAGCAGCAGTGCCAGGCACAACCACAAGCAGCCAAAAAATCCACAAGATACAGACAGTAAACTGCCAGTGCACTTTACTCCCATCCTGCCCTAGGGTTAACCTCTCTGTGACAAATTAAGTCATCCAGTTTTGTGAATCTCCTGCCCTGCAGCTTTTTGGCCGAGTTCTACATAAATTCTGCAAAAAGTCTCAAACAGTCCATATAAAGATGAGGTCCAGACCTCATTAAGATGTAATAAACATTGTGGGTTTAGGCAGAACCAGGTAACAAATCACCACATTGTTTCCAATGGACCCTGCAAGACAAGGTCCACACTACTTTTGGCTTGCATTTAATGATCCTCGATGGTCCCCAGTGTCCTCTTAAGTCTTTCTTCTGTGAGACAAAAACAACTGGCTCCCAGTGTCTGATCTGACCTTGGCTACCACGT